AAGTTTCCCGGAAAATGTAAGTGTTGGTGTCACTCCAATAACTGCAATTTTGTCAGTGAACATTGCCGTTTGAAAAAAATGTACATTCGTCACTGAAACAAATATTGTGGAGATAGGTAGGATGCCTTGCATTGGTTTCCGTCATGAATTCGCAGAATTCTGTTTTTCGATCAGGGTCTTCTTCAGTTAATTGGTGTACCATTTCAATTTTGTATGGATGATACCTATTTCTCTTCAAAAGTCTCCACACAGTAGAAGAAATCTCACAAACATTCGCGACGGAATAAGTAGGCTGTTCAGGATTCACTACCATCTCACCAATTATTTGCCTTTGCTGTTCTTCCGGAATGGACGGATGACCTGGGGGCTTTTTGTTATGTACACTACCGGTAGTTGTGAATTTGGATACAAGTTTCCTCAAATATTTTCTACAGATAGGAAGATTCGGAAAATTTCCATTGAAAATCCTTTCGGTCTCGTGAAAGTTACGCCGTATATCCAGGAGTTCTACATTAAATGAATGGTAACAAATTGCACTTAGATGGATGGAACACTGTCATCCTCACTGGTAGACATCGATGTTTCGCCGTAAGACACTCGCCTTAGGGCTCTTCAGTACCAATCTAGATAACAATATAAAAAAAATTATTTTGAATCCGTTTTTTCGTTAATTAGTTAATAAGAAAAAAACACACAACCCCTTCAATTCTAAATGAGAATATTCAAACTAAACAATGATGTTCATTGTCGTACTGACATTTTTTGACGTTTTTATAAACAAAAAAGAACTCAACAAACTTTATCGGGTTGTTGGAATTGCCATATGTCAGATAAAAAGGAATATTTCTAGAAATATCGATATTATTGTGTTTGTCTTCAGGAAATTATTAAATGTTCCGCCCTTTTGTAGTTCTAGGAGTGTATTCTAGGATTGTGAAGTATTCGTCACGAGCTTCAAAATGATGTGTCACAAGACCCCCTTTCCTTTTATTTTTTTTTCATGATGGCGCCCAGTCGCCATCTTGAAAGTTTCATCTGTCAATTTCACTTCAAAATAAAGTATTCATGCATTAATTTCATTATCACAAATCTCAATTTTTTGTGTTGACCTGTTCAGAAAATAAAAGGAGGGGGAACATTACAGAAATGCACTGTACCTACATCTGCTGAAGGTAATAATAGAGGTCCTTAACTTAATTGAGTACTTGAAATTTGTTTACCTATGACAATGTGGATACGGTTATTGGAAAACTGGTGAGTAAACTAGATCGATTTGATCATTTAGCATATTACATCCGCAATGCTTATGCTTATGAAAATAATTGAGTTTCCAACCAAAATTTCCGTATCGTTTAGATTCGGGAACTTGTGGTTGCATTCCAAGGAATGGTTTGAAAACGTCGAAATGGAAAGTTTTTTTTCTCATTTGTCATGATGATCTCCTACCACGTAGTAACGGCTACATCCATCAATTTATATTCTAACAGAGTGCGTGTTATATCTCAACGAAACACAAAAGTATGGCTTCCCTTCATCACTCAAGAACATATTAGAAGATACCTAAATGTGATCTTGATAATCTGTAAGCCTTCCTCAGGAATATCAATATGTTAAATCTCCATAAATCTTCATAAATATGTATATCAACAAGTTGCTAATGACCCAAGAGGTTACTGATAAATAGATAGATTGCGAAAAGAAAATATTGACTTCCTGGAAATCGAAATTATAGTCTACATATAAATGGCATGAACAATCTAAACAGGGTGTCCCACATTAAATGTTACAGGTAATATCTCGATAGTTAGGGGAGATATAGAAAAATGTTTATTATAACAAAAGCAACAGCCCTTCAAGTGAGCTATATTTTGATATCATTCTTACTCATACTGTTCCATATTTGAGTTGTGATTTGACTACCTACACTACGTCGTTGTTTCGTACGTTAGAAAATTTTGGAATTTTATAACATTCAAAATAAAAAATCACTCTGATTCACAATTAATTTTAAACGATTGTCGTACATTTATCACACATTTGTACATTCTGGAAAAAATCGGCAATGTCGTAATGAAATTCCCAAAATTATTCATGAAGTGATACCAAAATTTGCCGTCAAATCTCATTATGTAATTAAATTTAGGATTTTCTAGTGAAAAAGCACCGACGTGTCACGCGTATATGAATCACTTTGTATGAATATAAATGATATCACCAAAATATGTTCCATTTGAAGAACTATAACGTTTATAATGAACGTTTTTGCATATCTTTCCTATATAGAGATACTATCTACCTGAAATGATGTGTGTGGGACACTCAGTATAATCGAAACATTTATGAACATGGTTTCACCGATTTTTCTTCACCTATTCCTTAACATCGCCCATTTCACTATGTAGAACATGTTTAGGGTATTTTTAAGAACTACCATGATCATCACATTGGGCGAAATGGTAAAAGTAACGAAGCTATCAGAGAGAAGTGGAATGTTTTTTCCTTTAACGCCTTTGTACTTTGTACACCCATAATCTTCCAATAAAACAGTGCAGTGAAATGAGTGAAGTACTAGTTTTTCCGGCCGTCTGAAGTGAAACAACTTGAACTTTACCAACGAATTTTTCAGGCCCTCTAAGGAGGTGGAAATAGAGTGGAGAATAAAGAATCATATAATTAAAAATCACATTTCCATATCTGCAAAATTGAAATATGTTCTACAAGATTCACATATTTAATTTTTGATGATTGATTCAATAAAGAAACATCACGTCCGAGTATTCCAGGCCATCTTAAGGAGTGAAAATGTGGGGATAATGATGAAAAACTTGTTCGATTGATGACCTACTTATTTTGTAGAAATTCATATTGAATATAGAATTAAGACAATAACTTTTGTCTAATTTCTACTAAGTTTATTATTTGTTACGACCGGTTTTGGTTTATTACACCATTTTCAAGTTACTTGAATTGATCATCAGAAACTCATTTTTTTCTCAGTGTACTTTGTGTCTGTAAATAACATATTGTATGCATTCTACTTACCTGTATTTGGCACACTAGACCAAAAACAGATAAATAGAACGAACTTACAAGAACATACGTTTTACCTTATACTCTCCACTGTTGGATTTTGATAAGTTTTGCCTGAAAACAGGGAGTTGTGGATTGCTGTCAATATAAATCAGAGCTAAGATCGTGTCTGAGAGTACGTTATTAATAATACATAGTGAAGTGTTTTTTGGAGCTTTAGTGTTTTTTGTGCCATCCAGGTCAGCAAAAGCTAACACTGTTTCCATGGTTAAGATAAAAAAAAATATGTATCGCCGCAAGTCTAGGCTCTGAAGTTTTAAGGTATATAGACGTATCCTCGATGAATATTCGTTAATCTACTATAGGATCTTCCAACAGGGACTTCAGACTATTTGCAATGTGGTGGATAAATTGGAGTCCACTGGTTCAGTAAACGATCGACCAACGCCCGTACGTCGACTAAACGCACGATCTGCCGAAAACATCGCCGCTGGCTATGAGAGTGTGCAGGAGCATCCGAGGAGGTCGATTTCGCGTCACTCACAAGAACTCGCTCTTTCGCAGACCGCAACTTGGCAAATTTTGCGTCGTGACTTGAGCCTGCACCCGTACAAAATTCAACTGACTCAGACACTGAAGGTAAACGACTATAGACAACGACGTGTGTACGCTGAATGGGCTTCGGAGTATTTCTGGATGAATGGGAACGTGCATAAACAAAATTTTCGAATTTAGGAAGCTACCAATTCACATGATATCCAAGAGCGTCCAATGCATTCCGAAAAAGTCACTGTTTGGTGTGGGTTTTGGGCTGGCTACGTGATTAGCGCGTATTTCTTTCAGAACGTTCTTTCAGAACGACGTTGGCCAGGCCATTACTGTCAACAGCGAGCACTATAGATCGATGATTACCAGCTTCTTTTGGCCTGAATTGGATGATCTCGACATCAGGTTTCAACAGGTCGGTGCTACGTGCCACACAGCTCATGCCACATTGAATATTCTGCAAGAGCGATTTGAGGGCATGGTCACCTCACGTGGAAGTGACGTGAACTGACCACCGAGATCGGTGCGATTTGGCTTCGTTAGACTTTTTCTCGTGGAGTTATTTTAGGTCGCAGGTGTGTGCGAATAAGCCGCAAATCACAGCGGTCCTCAAAGCCAACATAACGCTAGTTGCACACACACCGATTTTGGACGGCCGACTTTGTACCGGTCGTCCAAATTCCAATAGTGAACCACATGTGGGAACGGGACCTGGCACACACGCCGACCGGTGATCGTCGCCGGTAAAATACCGGTGAGCAGCCGTTCACTGCCACTGTATCGCCGGCAGTATCGGGAAGTAGTGGCGTACATGACTAAATACACTCTTGCATACTCACCGGTTTTTTACCGACCATTCCAGTCTCGAATGCTCGGTGAAATTGTAGTTACTACGCATTAACTTCGTTTTGGTAGTGCGTGCTAATTACGACAACAAAGCAACTGATTGTTTGACCGATAAAAATCCGGTGAGTGTACAAGCACCCGCTACCAATAAAATATCGGCCGATTTTATACTGGCCGTCCAAAATCGGTGTGTGTGCAACTAGCGTAAATATGTCATCGGTTAAATTCATACTGATTTATGCGCCAGAGTCATGGAAAATTGGACGTTTCAGATGCGTTCCACCCAGAGAAGCCAAGGCGGACATTTGAACGATGTTATATTCCACACATAATGACATCACAACCTTTGTTTTATTCAAATTTGAAGATATGAAGCGCTAAATAAAGACCTTACAGTACCCGTGGTAAATTTAGCTGACAATGTTAACATAATCACTGAATTAGATTGAACTCAAACTACGGCGTTTTCTAAAATAAATTATAGACTACATATATCCATATAACAAAGCTACGTGGCCTTTAGCGATGTGAATAAATGAACATAGATCAATCTCCTATCCAATGTGACGCATACCTACCCCAAAAGCTTTCAGAAGAGCATCGATGGCATAAGGCATAACAACGGTGAACACAGAGCTGCCAGCGGTCACAAAACCGTTGACTTTTCCCAGGTACCTCTTGAAGTAGTGGCCAAGTATGGCTAGGGAGGGCGTGTACGCCAGAGAGCCTCCTAGACCGTACATGATGCCGTAAGTTATGCAGAGAGCGACGATGTTGTCCACGAAAAATGAAGACAGGAACATTCCACTAGAAGCAATGGCGCCTCCTAGGAAAGTGGTTTTTCTTAAGCCTATGTAATCGGTGAGCATCCCCGATACTGGAGAGACGAAGAAAGTAGTACCCATGGCAAAGGAGCCCACCAGAGCTGAAAAAAAAAATACAATTGAGAACGTCTTTTCGAGTATTATGCTGCTTTTAACAGTACAAATGGCTGCCAGTATGAGTAGATAGGTAGGTTTTTCCGAGGGTTTTTCATAATTATGCACAACTACCGAACCGAAACGGGTTCGTCTACATTTTTTTTGTCATAGTTTCGCATTAGTTTGTAACTGATAAAAGTGACGTTTGATAGAATTTAGTGAAAAAAATATGTTCATAACTATCAATTTCAATCTCGAAATAGTTAAGAACCTATCTTCTCAAAGACAGTAACAAACAAAAATTGCGACTTTAACCTTCAAAGTGATCCACTACGTAAAACATAACCAAAGTAATGGGCTGCTTGCATGTTTCGCAAAAGCTAATGAACCCTTCTATTTATCGCTACACAGATATTTCTTTAAACAAAAATTATATACTACATACTGCTTCTAGAAAACCAAAACATTTCTTTTCCAAAAATTAATCTCCCCTAAAAATATACCCCTTTCAATTTAAACAAGATTCCCATGGCTAAAATTCAATCAAATAAGCGAATGAATGTCGTACTGTATCGTACTTTAATCGATGACATGAGTAGATTAAACTCATTCGTGATATCAAGTCGTAATTGTATGGATGAACTGACTGCTTCATCTTAAAATGTTATCCAGATTTGGTGCTGAAGAGACGATGAGGCAAGTGTCTTCCGACGAAACATCGTTTGTCCACCAGTGAGAATGACAGTGTTCCATGTAAGTGAAATTTTATCTCTTTAATTCACTATATTGTGTAGCAATCCTGTGAATGCTATCTGATTCAATTCCATAACGAATGTTTGGAATACAAACTGAATAGAGACAAGTGTTTTTTTATTATGAAGTGTTCATACATACAGGGTGGGTAATAGAAAACTTGACGAGGAGTTTTTGGGTACTAAACTTGCAAATCCTAAAAAACGCTCAGACAGGTCGATTTTTATTGGGAGGGGGACAGTTTTTTTCCCATTTACAGTGTCATCACTTCAACTCCGGAGCAGAGGGGTGAACAACCCTTGAAATTTTAATAGAGAATAGGGGGCGAGTCATACATCATTTGAAAGATCTTGGAATTCTCTAAACAATAGTGTACATTTTTTTAAATTTGCACGTATTCAAAAAATTTTCTCCGATAATTAACTTTTTCAATATTGTTAATAGCAACAAATTGTTGTACGCCACTGCTCAGTTGGAATGTATTTGAAACTTTTTCATTTGTTTCTTACACTACTTTTTTGTTAATTTTTCAGTTCTTCTCTGATAAGAGGACTATTACAATTGAGAAATGGTTAAATATGGTCATTTGCATGTTAAAAGTGATATCACTTTTCATCATTATGAGACCAGAATAAGTCTTAGTAATGGACGTCCTCTCCAGCATCCAAATAGATATTGGAACAATCCCATTTTTTTTTTTTATTTCATGTATTACTTTTTTTTTGTTTCAGCTTAGGTGGAATCTTTTTGAGGTTGAGTGGAAGAACAACTCAGTAGCACTTGTGCTAACTAAGTTGAACTTCGCCTTTTGTTATGTCAGCAACTAGCTCTCTAATTTATTTAAATATTTGTATGTAACTACAGCTGGGTAACAATAAAGACGATTATTATTATTATTATTATATATATAAATCGATATAAACA